GAGAGAGAGAGAGAGAAATCGGCAAATTATAATATTGATATTGCTGTTTTGTACGACTAATTTATTGCCTTACTAAATAATATTCATCTTTTGCGTTTCTGTCTTCACCAAATATTTTCGTAAGGATACTTTCCGCAATATATAAGAATGGTTTCCGCAAATCTGTATGCGATTCTTGTCTCGCATAAGCCGCAAGTATTGCGGCTGACATAAACGCGAGGTGCAACATGCAGATAAGAAGAGCGCGGGTCTTGAATATTTTTCTGCGCTTCTTTCAGGCACCAGTCTGTTCGCGGTGGCTGCTCATGAATTCGGCCATTCCCTGGGACTGGCGCACAGCTCGGTCCAGGGTGCTCTTATGTATCCCTGGTACCAGGGATTGAGCCCGAACTACGAGCTGCCGGAGGACGACCGCCATGGGATTCAGCAGATGTACGGTAAGTCACTCTCTCTTTCGCAATGCTAATGCTTTTACACGATCGTTAAACATGCGGTATTTAAATAAAGTTGTTTCCCTGTGAATTATTGGAGCATATTCTGCTTTATGAAACTACTCCTAGTAAAAGATATTAAAATCCTCATAAATTAAATAAATTTAAGTAAATGATATTTATTTTGAGCTATATTAATTATGAATTTGGAAATATAAGAAAGCCATTGAAGCAGAACACAATTAAAAAATATATATTGTACAACACATTATACATCTAATTATAAATATTGTTGTTAATTATAAAATTTAAGCAAGTAGGATAGAAGCCAAAGTTAAGTGCGATAGCACAATTGAATTATAAATACGTTGAAGTTAAGAAATATTAGAATTTTGACAAAGAAATTCAAAAATATTAACATCATTCTACTTAATCGTTAATCAGTGTAAACCAGAGTAAGGGAAACAGGGAGGCGGGGCGATTATCTCGATTGCGCCGCGCGATTGGCATTCGGCCGCTTTCGTTCTTCGAATTTTCTTCGTATACGCGGTGTGAATCGGACGAGACCGGGATATGCGGGAGGTTTATCTCGATCGTAAAACTTTCGGTAAGCGGCGATGTAGTAGCGACGAGATTTATGGCGCGCGTTATCGGCATGGGATCGCAGGCTCGCGGGAGGTGAGCGCCGCTCGTGCGGTGTTTCAATTTCGGAATTTCGAGCACGCTGTCGCGCAGCCATGGCATTAAAGCGAATGCCGTTGCAATCGGCTCGACTCGTAACGCGCGACATAACCCGCCGGCGTGTCGGCCGGCAATTGAGTATATTAGAAAAGTTGTTTGCTCTTTATGGCTTTATCGGCGAGCTCAGTGAGAACGTAAGGGATAACGTACAGGATAATTTGGGCGAAGGTGGGGCTCGTAATGGACGAGATAAATTTCTCCAGGTTTCTCCCGCCATTACTGGGTATATATATATATAGTGAAATATTTAGTGAAGTATTATATAGTGAAATATTATATATACAATATGTTTCCGAAGTTAAATAAATATCGGAGGAGTACATTTAATTAATAACGTTAATACAAACGTTGTATCCATATTTTGAAAAATTAAACGAGATAAAATAAAAAATAAAAAAAATTGTAAGATATATACTGCATATATATATATATATATATATATATATATATATATATATATATATATATATA